TCCGACTTAGGATGTCGGCGAGACGCTGTGAAATGGCTCGAGAACATATTCCCCGAGTGCTTCCAGGAGGTGATAGACTCGTCTGGAAGACTTTTGTTCCAAGACATGACACCTTTCCTCAGGGTAGTCGAGAACAACCTGCACTTGATGGCGCCCCTAACTCATCGGTAGTCAAGCAGGGTATTAATATTTTCTATGTGTCCATCAGGATCAGTTGTACCGTCATATGTTCCCAGCAGGGGTGGCTTCTCCAGGACGACTGAGAGTTGGGTCTCTGTGATCTATCTTGACAATGGGTCATGAGGCTTGTCATTGTCACTTCCTTTAGGAGATGGAGGTGGGGAATGATGGTTCCTTCCCCGTCGAGCATCGTTGTCCCATCATGGAGAAGGACATCTTCGTTGCTGCCTTGGCTTGGGCAACAGTGATCGGTCGCGGTCAAGTCGTTGATCACTCTTAGTCTTTTTAGAAGATGGAGAGCCATGATTTTTCTTGGGATGTGTGGGGTCACATTTCTTGAGAAAATAAACATCATGCTTCTCCCTTCTGGTTGGACGACCACGCCTAGGTGGGGATAGGCTGAGGGAGTCGTATCACCGGTGTCTCTGAGGAGGAGAATTTGACTGCTTCTTCTCTCACGCCCTTATCCTCTTACTCTGATGCAAGATAAGGGCATTAGTATGATTGAGGGCAGTGAGCAATGCTTCCATGGCGGGGTCGGCATTCTGAGGAATGGGAACTGGTTGCAGAATTTCAGGCAGATCCTTGGTAGGGTTCTTAGGTCACTGCTCATCCAAGAACAGATGGTTTTCGCGCTCGACGTTGACTGAATCTGGGGACGCAGATTGTCCTTCTCTGACGTTGAAGTCATCCTCGAGGTGAGGAAACTCCTGGCTTCTATCGATCTTGTGGACTAGAGAGAGTATTATTTTTCCATAGAGGTAATGATCATCATGGTCGACCATGGTTGAAGGATTGAAAGTATCTTTGGTCTTCAGTTTACGAGAAAAGAAGATTGGAAAGATGCCTTCCCATAGACGATGCCACTGATCTTACCGGTTGATCAAAACCTACAAATGGACTGAAGGATTACGTCTATTTTGCTGGAAAGTTGGGGAGAAAATGGGGGTTGTACCTGCAAGGAACTCTGACGATCAAGTAAGAATGGGTGCAAAGAGATACAAGCAAAATATTAAGGTTTAAGGTTTGAATATTGGATACCTAGCCCTCACATGTGTGAGGGTTTATATAATGCCCTCGAAGCTTGGCCATTAGTTTCTATTGTTAGGCCTAGATATGCGCGTCCTCAAAAATAGGTAACAACCAGGACTTGGTCAAAACGGGCAGTCATGCTCATAACTTGCCGTTTGTTCTGAGGAGAAGGCAGATTACGGGCATAGAGGCGTTCTGGATGTTTCCTAGTTATCTGCTTGACTTGTGTCAGGCAGACAGAGAGATAGTTGTTGACTTGGGCAGGCGTGCGTATCGAGCATCGTTGGTTGCGCTTCTTGGGGCGTGGTCGACCAGGGATGTTGGGCCAGTGTTATTTGGCCGTGCCAAGGGTAGAAGCGGATTGGGGCAATTCTAGCTATTGGACAAGTCCAGAAAAATATTAGATTAAATATTAAAATTAAATAAATTATAAAATAAGTATTTTCATTTAAAAATAAAATTTATGAAATTTTAGAAAATAATCAATAGATTATTTAAACTTATATATTTATAAAAGATTTATTCGACAGACAAATTTTGTTATTATTTTTTCGTTTTTGCTGAGTATTATAAATATTGTTTTATCATTTTATTTTCACTACACTTATCACCCATCTCTTCAGTTGACTCTGAAAAATATCTTTCATGAACTTCCCAACGTGGCCATATATGAAAAGAGATGCTCAACTGATTTTTTCTCCTATAAAGCCTCCGATGAAGATCAAACTCTTGAACACGCAGACACTCGAGCATCTTCAGAGGCACTTGGAGGGAGGGTTAGGAGGAGAAATCTCAGAAGGTGAAAAGATCCAGAAAATTGAGAGGCTAGTTATGGTTTCCGGCCTAAACGGTCCAATTCGTTCGTGGAGATTAATTCACAATGATGCATGTGTCCTCGTGATGATGATTCAACCAGCCGATATTATGCTGATGGTTGTAATATCCTATAATTTTTTATGTGTTTTGTTTGGACCTTTTGATGTTGTTTAGGTTAAATGTTGTTGTCGAGTAATTTTATTTGTCTAAGTATTTGATTTATGTGTAGTGTTGTGGAGTTGTTATTTATATTAAATGTAGAAGTATTAGTGGGTATAAAACATTTTTTATACAACTGAGAAGCTTGACATCATTATATCATACAACTTTGAAGGTTAATAACAAAATAAAAAACTAATTATTACTAGTTCCTACACTGGGACATCACATTCGGTTATGTCTAGGAAGACGACATAATGCACATTTTCTCTGCAACTTATCATACGCGTCCATTTCTTTTGTAATATGTGTGCTCACTGGATGACCTTTCTTGTTCCTCCTCATGATTGGATTATGGAAAATTTGAGGTCCCTCATAAGTCGGCCAATATTCATCGTACATTAAAACAGGAAAGCTTGTGTTGTAAACCCTGAATAAGTTTGCCACCTTGTAAACGTTGGACAATCGAATATATGCGTCTTCGTGCACCTTCGAACATGCAGCGATAACATATGAATAAGGAACATTGTATGCTTGAAACTTTCCGCGGTCAAACCAACGATCTATTAGGTTGACCTTGTAACGTCCCATAGCCTTCCCCTCACTATGGTCAATTGTCTCCTTCACACTAAAAGTGTTATGGTTGTAGTAAAAAATGATTACCTTCATGGTGAATTTTGTTGATTCTTATTTCATGTCCTTCATGCACCGCTCTGTAAATGTCCATCTAGAATTCAACAATGCACTCCATTGTGCACCCCTGTGAGCAAATAATGTTCTCATCCTATAGTATGTTGCATTTACCAACGTTGTGATGGGCAGATTACAAGTGCCTTTAAATACAAAATTTAGTGACTCAACAAGGTTCGTTGTCATGTGACCCCAACGTCGACCCTCGTCAAATGCCCTCATCCATTTTTCAAATGGAATATTGTCTAACCTAATTAAAGCATCACCATTAGCCATGCCAATTTCATTACGATAATATTTAAATATTGGTTTGTTTAAAGCACACCCTACTTGTTATAAAAAATATGGGTTAATGTTATGATATACTAAATTTATGTATCATTTAATTTCTGTATAAAAGATACTTACCCATGTTGATAACTTTTTTCCAGAGGTTTCGGTCCTTGATTTCCCTCATGAAATTTTATGCAACGTGTCTGATACAGAACACATGGACAGATGGAGGATTCTGCCAACCATTTTCAGGATTCTTGTATGCGCTTTCGATAGAAGCATGCCTGTCGGAAATCAAACATAGGCCAGGTTGAGGAGTTACATGCATTCTCAAGTTCTTTAGAAAGAAACCCCAACCATACACCGTCTTACCTTCCACAATGTCATACCCCAATTTTTGACCTAAGATCCCATCTCCATTTCATTTTTGTTATATAACTCAAGGCCATGAAATATGGTGGTTTCGAACGTTTCACCTTCGAGCATTGCTTGTGCGGAGATTATCGAGTGTTATGAGTGTTTTATCTTATGCATGACTAACTTCTAATCAAGCACGAAGTGTATGTTTTTTGTTTCTTTGATTTCAAGTGCATAAACAGGTCTGAATCAAGAGCATCAGGCGTCACGCCTCAATTAGGGTTTTGAGTCTCTCAAGCCAGAAGTACAGTTGATCATTGATTCTTGAAGACTGGTTCATCAAGAAAATCGTGTGTTTATTTCCATGCCCTGTTCAACAAGTGGCCTCAAGCGTCTCCAAACTTCCTCAAAGAAAAAGAAACAGTCAAGGTTCCATGATCATTGGTTCACGTGTGTTTTACCCTTGCCTTGAAATGCGAGAAAGATCAAGCTATGCAAGTCGATTCCAAACATTTTTACCAAAAGTCATCTGCAAGTTTTCTTTAAGAGTTAAAGACATTTGTGTTTAGAAAGTCATGAGAAGCCTTTATGGGACGTCTGTCATGATTTAAGAGTTTCTGGATCTCTAAGTTTAGTTCACTATGCCAATTTCTCAACGCGATAACATTTCGCCTCGAATCCCTTTTCTAGTGATTATTTGAAGCCTTTAAGCATGGTTCGATTTCTTATACTGAATTTCGTTAAAGTGGGAAGATTAAATTCAAGATTTCTTTGGAAGAATTTATTTTTAATACTTGGAATTTTCATCATGTGAATTCAAATGTTAATTAAATAGAGGTTATCAAAAGATCTCATTCAAGAATAATTGTTCATCGCATTAATATTTATTCAAGATTATTTTTGTGTGATTATTTTGATGGATTCACACCATGACTATTTGAATTCATATGAGGCATTTATTCAAGAAGATATTGGAAAAGGAAACTTGACTCAAATAATTATTCCTCACAAGAATAAATACATGATGGTTACAATTTTATTACAAGATCAATTCATGAAATTTATTTGGATCTCTATTACAAAATGCAACATTGAAGTCTTAAAGCTTGCATTATTATTTATTCATCATTCAAAAATTCATTCAAGTATCAACCATTCCTTTTCAATTCAAATGGAAGATTTTGAATTTCATCAAGATGAATAAAGATTCAAAGTGTTTACAAAAGAATTGAGAGAATTATATTGAAGACAAATTTCCATTCATGTTACAATTTTATTTGGATTTATTACTATAAAGTTACAAGGAATTATAAGTTGTACAAACTATTATTCCTAATATCCTAATTCCAGCCCGATATCATGTTGCTGCCCATATTTTCTAGCCATGTTGCAATACAATAAGTCCAATTTTTTTGTGGTATTTTGCTATCCAAAAATGCAGCAATAACAGCTCAAAAAATACATCAATAACATCCCATTTTCCAGCCTTGTAAATGCAGCAAAGACAACAAGCAAAACAGTCCAAAAACTGCAAACAAATCTGCTATAAACCAGTCCACAGCCTGCAAAAATCTGCATCAAAACAGCCCAGCATTTGCATCAATATGGCTAAAGAAAATTGTATGAACAAAGCATCAAAACAGTTTGTCAAAATAGTTCAAATGTTCTACTGTTTTCCCCCCTTAAATGCTTTGTTCTTTCACTATAAAAAGCCCCTTCATGAACAGAAATAAAGGGAGAAAAAATTCAAGGGACACAACAGAAAAATTCAAGGAGAGGAAAAACAGAAAAATAGAGGAAGTTTGTTCAAGCATCACAGCAAACAATCAAGGTATAAAAAAAAGCTTGAGCATCAAGGGAGAACTTACTATTCTTTGAAGCTCCATCGGAGAGACTCCGGTAGATATTTCTTCTTCCTTATTTAACTCTGCCCAACTTTCTCATATAACCATCAATTTGAATCTTCTTTGCACCACTTTTTTTGACATACGATGTTTGATTTATCTTATTCTTTTGCTGTGTGTTTTTTTTATTTGCTGCAATATGTGGACATTTAAGCATGTTTAATAATAATAATAAAAAAGAAAAACATATTTGAAACATTAGAACAATATAAATTATAGAAACTATACATTATATTTGTTCAACCACATTTCCTCCTTACCAAACAATACATCCACCACAACAACTCAAATGTAATAGTTTTATCAGGAAACCAATCCCTTCTCAGCCAAAACAAAACCTTCGAACTCGGTTTCTTCAACCTAGAACAATCTTAACTATCCAACCTCGCGAGCTCGAGTACATCCTCGAAGGCCCAAGTCAGCAAACATTTTAGATTCTAAATTTGAGTTCAGTCCATAACAGTAATATTGAGTTTGTATCCAAAATAAAACAAAAGTTGAATCCTTATTCCCTGAATCTCCTTGACCAAACTTTATTTGGACTGTGGCGAGTATTGTAGACTTGGCACTGGGGAGCTTCGATTCTATAATAATCTGAGGCAGTTGTGGATAGTGCATTGTTTTTCTCTCGAGTTTGACTCCTTGAATTACGAAAAATTCATCTTTATCCCAAGTAACCACATAGTCAGCCTTTCTGTCTTCTACAAAATGCAAAACAAAAGGTTATAGATGTCTGTATTTAAACCTCCATGGAATACCCCACTTAAGAACCTTATACAAGTCAGAAAATCTAATGCAGAATCTTACAAGCTAACCTCGATCCCCTTCGTCCTCTTCACCCCTCTTCATCTCAGCCATCAACTCGCCGGATACTCCCTCCCTATTTCCGCAACACCTTCCGCCAGCATCCCGCTTCCTATTATGCTCACCTCAACCCCTTCAACACACTCCATCTCATTCTTTCTTCCCCGACTAACCATGTTTTCTTCTTCTATCACAAACAAAAAATAGAATAATAACATCCCATGAAATCGAAAGCCCGTAACTAGATTTGAACACATACTAACCGATTTAAGCTCACCAAATTCAACCGAAATCGTACCCTGAATCTAAAACCCTACTTCACTCCCCGCGTTTACTTTCCATTGCCCTGTATATACATACATAACACACCGATCATTAGAACTGAACAAAGAGGAACAAAAATTAGCAGAGAATGGAGAAGAATGAGAGGCGATAATGGAGCAGAGAGAACAAATTACACAAAATCGTAAAAAAACAGTTAACTAACCTTATCCAAATCCCACACCATACCTTCTCTCACATCTAATTCGGTCCCAAGTTGAATCAGTGAGTCATCATGTCTGGCGAGGAACACCACTTTGAGTCAAAGGCCGGTGCTGGAGCTTCCAAGACTTATACTCAGCAAGCCGACATCATCTGCAAAAACGGATACATCGTTATCAAGAATCATCCATGCAAGGTTGTTGAGGTTTCAACCTCAAAGACTGGTGAGTCGTACCTACTACCAGTTGATCGATATCTCCGAGGATGGATTTGTGAGCCTGCTCACTGAAATGGGAACACCAAGGAACCTGAAGCCAACGAATTTACAAGAGAGAGATAATTACTTTTGATTTAAAGCTGAGATCTCGATAACAAGAGAGAGGGAGAAGAGAAGAAATCGAGGATTGGATTTGTGGTTAGGGAAGAGTGTGTTTCGTTTTTTAATTTTTTTTCTAATACAGCATAGAAAGAAAAGTTTTCAACAATAATAATTTAATCTGCAGTTTGTCATTTCCCAATGATACAGCTAGCCGCGCTTTTTGCTTAGTATTGGGGTTTCAATTTTTTCTTCTCCTAAATCGGGCCAGCTCTATTGGGCCTGCTGGCCCAATCCGATTATCAATATTCACCCTTTTATTTTAATAGAATCGTAATAATAACAGTTAAGTAATACAGTTCAGTTGGCAAGGCACATTTGCTCTAACCTAAAGGACCCGGGTTTAACTCTCAACTAGGCCATTTTTCTGTTTTTCTTTATTCTTTGGCTATTATTTCCCATTTTCATTATATATGATAACAATATTAACTTAGTTAGTTCATATAATTATTTCATTATAAAATACAGAAAAATGCTTTTTATTAAATTAATATTTTACTTAATTTTGTTATTTACTTAAATATATGTTATTATTTATTTAAAAAACATTCTAATAAATCATCTTTTATTTAATTCTTGTTTATTTAAAATATATTATCAAATTAGTCTTTATTTAATTTTGTTGTTTATTAATTATTCCAATACATATTAATCTTTTATTTAATTTTTGTTTGAAAATGCATGCTAGTATAATTTAATTTTCGTTATTTATTTTTTCAATTATCATTTTAATTAACTTTATTCTCGATCGTTTAATCTTTATCTTTCATCCGTCTAAATTGCAAGGGAAATGTTTTAACTTTGTTGACTTCATGTAATCAAATACATCTTATATGATTGTGCGAATACCTTTATTCATTTTTGTTTACTATTTTGCTAAACTTAAGTTAATTTTTTTCCTAAAAAAACTCAATTTAAAACTCACACCTTTTAAGTCAAAACTTCGACATTAGGTTGTCGCATCTTCAAAATCTCATCCACACCCATTTTTACCAAACGAACCATTTTAATCAAACAAACAATTTTAAAAACAGATATTTCAAAAGGTTCATGCAGAGTACCGCAGATGCATTGGGTGCTAATACCTTTCCATTGCATAACCAATCCCCGAACTCTAGATCTCTTTCAAAAAACGCATTGTATTTTCATTACTTTTAAGTACTATTTTACATTGAATATTTAAGGTTTTTATTTTGCTCTTTTCCCTTTTCCCTTTTCCCTTGGAAATAATAAAGCACGGTGGCGACTCTTGCTTTTGTGAGTCGATTTAATTAATAGCTCGATCTCCAAATTACCATGCTACATTTTTTATCGCTACATAATTGGAGACTCCGCTGGGGATAGATTGACCTCTTGCTGGTCCATCCCTAAGTGGTTTAAGCCTAATTTGTCGTATCTATTTTTATTATTTGTTTGTTTGATTATATATTATATATTATGGATATTTGTGTGTTGATGATACTTACGAAGGACAAGTCCTATACTCGGACTAAGTTACACTTAGGAATAGGATGGGTAGTATAGTCATGTTAACTTTGAGGGAGTCATCCCGAAGAAGGAGGCATGAAATCCCCCACTCAGTGGAAGCCCTTTTGACTGAAGTATTTATTTACCGAGTAATCAGGAAGACGTTATTGCTTTCGACCTGGGAGCCAAAGAAGCTGAGAACCGTAGAACCCTTAACCCATCTTGGCCTCTTAGGTGTAGTGCGGAGACTATAACGGAGTAATCCATAAGTAGTTGTCACGCGATGCTACACTCAGACGATTTTCTCTTGAGAATATTGCTAATTACCGAGTAATCGAGACGTTGGTAATATCCGAAGGAGGATTATTGACTATGTAAACCTTTAGAACCTTGTTTTATAAGTGTGATTAAACCTTTAGTACATACCTTGGGGTGGGCTTTACCTTTGACTCCATGCTCGTAGCGTTAAACCTTTGAACCCCCATGTTTGTGAACTTATGTGTAATTGTTGTATTATCATTCATTCATGCATACATAAGTATTCTTTAAACATGTTTTCAAGAAACTTAAGAATGATTTTTGCAGACAACTCAGGTACTTTTACCATGGATTTTGGAAAAAGAAACACTCAGAGTTATAGTTTCAAGGAGCCTGAGATTGAAGAGTTGAAGAGTTTGATTCCCAAGATTAAGAACCCTACGGATTTCTTAAAGAAATATGGATCTATTATCCCTCTTATGAAGCGCAAGACGAAAGAGGGTATCCTTACTATGTTGGGCCAGTTCTATGATCCATTGTATTGATGATTCACTTTTCCTGATTACTAGTTGATGCCCACTTTGAAAGAGTATTCTTATATACTTGGTTTGTCAATCATTGAATATGTTCCTTTCTCCGGTTTAGAAGGGGAACACAAATCTCATGGAATAGCAATAGTTACCCACTCGAGGAAGTCTGAGATAGAAGAAAACATAACTACCAAGGGAGGAATCCAAGTCTTACCTGCACAGTTTTTGTTGAAGAAAGCTCGTTACTTCGCTGAGATAAAGGATATTGTCGCCTTTGAAACTATCTTTGATTTACTTGATTATGGTTTGTTCTTATTCCCTAACATCGATAAGTTCGTGGATATCAACTCCATTAGAATCTTCTTGATTGGAAATCCAGTCCCTACGCTGCTAGGAAATACCTTCTATTCCATCCACCTTCGGAATTCCTACCAAGGTGGGATGATTATCTGTTGTGCACCATTGTTATACCAGTGGTATGTTTCTCATTTACCTGGGTCTGATGTTTTTTGGGATCTCAAGAAGGAGCCACGATGGGCACCAAAAATTATGGCTCTTACTCATTCCGACATAGATTGGTACAATCAAGCTTATTATAATGTGAAGATCATTGATAGTTGTGGTGTTTTTCCCAACGTGCCTCTACTTGGTACGAGGGGAGGAATTAACTACAATCCTATTATTGCGCGCCTCCAGTTTGGATACCCAATGAAGGACAAGCCAAATAACATTCATCTGAGTGGTTTCTTTCTCCAAGAAGGAAAAGATCACAAAGCAGCTAAGGAGGAAATTGAAAGGACTTGGCGCCATATCCATAGAAAGGGAAGACACATGTTAGGGCAGAGTGGTGATATTTCTTTGGATCCTTACCTTCAATGGGTTCATGCTAGGGCTTGTGTTCTCAAAATGCCTTATTATCCCGATAATCCTTTATTCCCTGTTGCTACATCGCCATCTACTGCCATTCCAATTGAGAACATGAAAGAGTATCAGGAAAATCTGGCTAGAATAGAGTCTGAAAGAGATGCTTGGAAGGAAAAGTATAGTATGTCAGAATACGAAAACAGGGTCCTGACTTGACAGCTGAAGGAAAAGGAGGATATGTTATTTATTCAAGATGGTTGGTTTGTTAATCGTGATGAGAAGCTTCGTCAGAAAGATGAATTGCTCAAGAAATATGCTAAGGAAAAGAAGATAAAGAAGGAAGATTTGGTAGGCGTTACTCCTGTGCCTAATCCATGGAAGAAAGTTGTTGATCAGTTGATGGCCGAAAAGACAGAGATGGAAGATTTCTATGAGAAGATTGGGAAGCTCAAGTTACAAGTAGTGTTTGGTCCTTCGTCTGATGATGATTCTGAATGATCTTAGTCCTTAGTTTTTATTGCTTATGTCATTTTGTAAAACTGTTTAAAAGGGATTTATGTTCCAAAGTTGTAATTTTATGCTTTTATTAATGAAATGAGTTTTGGTGTTCCAAATTCCTTTACCATTGATGTGTTCAAAATTATCAAGTTTTAAAGTTCCTTGAAAAACTATCGAAAATAAATAATCATTTTCATCGCAATATCATGAATCATTCAACATTCAATCTTACATGTTTTCTAGAGTCTTATTCTTGCTTCTTTTCCACTCTGATAGACCGTCAAGCTGTTTCACCAGTATAATACTTAAGCCAATCGTCGAAAGAGAATGGAAGATCTAGAGCAAGAAAATCATGAGCTTCGCGAGGAGGTTACTACCCTTCGTACTAGAAGATTGTTAACTTTATTCAACAAAGTCGAATTGTATCATATCCCTAGAGATGAGAACCAAATGGCTGATGCCTTAGCTATGTTGTCTTCTATGTTCTAAGTGAATGATTGGAACGACATGCCTTCAATCAAAATTATGCGCCTCGATAGACCTGCTCATGTGTTCTTAGCAGAAGAGGTCACCGACGA